TGTTGCTGCTGCTCGCTGGGCAGACGCAAGACGAGATTTACCGAGCTGCAGGGAGGCCGAGTTGCTCCCCCGCCATAGCAAAAGGGCGGAGAGGGAAGGAGCTCCCGATTGAGGTGTTGTTGCTGCTGCTTCTGCTACTGCTGTTGCTGTTGCAGAAGGCCCTTCCCCTTTGAAATGTCTGCAGAGGTATTAGGGGCCAACGACCCAACGTAGTAGCAAAGCCACGAGCAAGTTGCTGCTGCAGCAAGGTGTACAGACAGACAATAGCAAGCAGCAGCAGCAGACGGCACTGAAGACACAGCAACATATGCTGCGGCTTGTAGCATAGCCGTCTGCCTCCAAACATGCGAGCACCTGGAGATAGAACTGCCCGCACCGAGCTTATTCAAAGCTCATATACAGCGGCGGGACAGTCATCCTATAAGCAAAGTTTGAAAAGACGGTAGCATTCGGCAAACACTAAAAAAAGCGATGCAAAACGCAATGGAGCGGCGCAGGGCGCGTAACGCCAGTCGGCTGCCTGGGCGGACGAAACAGCTAAATATGCATCGCGTAGAGAATGAGAACCAATAACTCTACAGAACAAACATTCCGCATGGCTCGCGCGACGGGACTGTCCTTCTGGGGCCAAACCCACATCGGCACAAACAATGTCCGAATACGACCGCTTCCTCTTGTCAGATATGCTTACTAAGAGAAGGCAACGGGAAAGAGAAATTCGGCAGTGCAACGTGTCTTCAGAAGCACTGTTGAAATCTAGATAGAATTTTGCACTCACGACCGCTTTTGCTCGGAAGTGCATGCTGCATCATCACGTTTTTCGTTGAGTAACCATGGGATCCGGGAAATATGAACAGCCAAGCGCCAGTGCTTTTCGAGTGCGAAGGAGCCCGTTTTAATACCGCGCAGAGTTAAGAAGATCAATGCGTGCCTTTGCGATTTCCTGCGTAAGCCGAGCTAAGTGCTCATCCTCAACCAGAGTCCACACTCTCAAGGACGACTGCAGTATCCTTTCAACGAATTCATCTATCTCATCAATGTTTCCACTTTCCTTTATCCTTGCCTTGTCAGAGTCGAATCGGTTTTTCAGCTCTCGTATTTCAGTCCATGCTGCCGATGAAGGGTCGAAAGGATACGTGAGTGCATAGCTCAGTGTACTCTCATACGTCTCAATTTCTTTTGATAATTCATACAAACATTGAAATCTTAGCAACGGAAGTCCTACCTCTGTTTTCTTCTCAACCGCCGTAACCCTAAGTGCTGTTGTCTTATCCAGTCCAGATGATCCAAACGTTTCGTTATCTAGTTTGTACTTTTTCACCTTCCTCACCG